AGGGCGCCCCGCGCGGGGCAGGCGGGCTCGGCGCCCAGGCGGGCCTTGGACTGCAAGAAAGCGAGGATGCGCGCGTACTTGGTGTCCTTGGTTTCCAGGCGCTCCACGGTGGTGAGGTAGTGCACCAGGTTCTTCATGCACTCGTGGTAGCCGTAGTGGAAGTAGTTGGCGAACTCCGCCAAGAGTTCTGCTGGCAGGGCGAGCAGGAAGGGAGGAAAAAGAACCCCGAGGTTTGGCCCTGCCCCACTGCGAGGCTGAGGCCAGGGCCAGGCGCCTCCCCTCGCGTTCTCGGGTCCAGAGCCTCCCCGAGTCTGGAGGCTGGAAAAGCACGAGTCACCGTTCTCGTCTTCCCTAAGAGCTTCACTCCAACCTTCCCTGCCTTAAGGCCCAGGACCCCATCCGCGCCTCCCTCCTCCCCAAACATCTAAGGGCACGCGGCGCCACCAAGGCCCCCCGCCCTTTCCCCCCGAGAAATCCGCTCCCCGGTACTGTCGCCCGCGGTGTCGCCCGGGCGGGAGAGGCGCCTTTAATGGATCTCACCACCACCCCCGCAACCCCCATCCCCACCCTCATTTCCTGCACGCAAGGGTGGCGCGCGCATCTGGCCCATGTTTGACGTTCCCGACCTGCGCCCACCTTTTTCCCTGCCGCGGGGAAAGTCAGCCGAGTGCAGGGCTCTCAGGTACTGAACCGTCATCTCCAGGATCTCCGCCTTCTCCAGCTTCCCCGAACTCTGCGAAAGAAGGCAGGGCTGTGGGCGGAGGGCCAACAGCGCGGGCTGGGTCAGGTCGGGAGCCGACGGGCCAGCGGGAAGGCGTCCCAAGGCTGCAGAGGGTTCCCAGTTCCAGGCACTGGCCAACGTTACCTGCTTCGCCAAGGCCATAGGCACGGTCTTGCCCAGCTCATTCAAGCAGCGGTTGATCCTGTCCCTTCTCCGCTTTTCTATCACTTTGTGGGACACAGGGGTTCTCTGCGAACAGAGGTTTGTACCTTTAGGATGGTGTTGCCCAACCAAACCCGCCCTCCAATTCAAAGCTGTCGCTGCGTGTCAATCATCTTCCCTGCCCTACATGATCTCCAGGGGTTCGGCCCAGGAAGCGACCCCTGCCGCTTCAAACTTGGGCCAGATGAACTCATAACCTCTCACGCCCAGGTCTGTGCGCCTCCCTTTCCTACTCCCTACCCAGCCTGGCCACACCACCCAGCTGAGCACCAGGGCTTCGGGGAGGTAGCCGTCAGCCTCCTGTCCTGGGTGGGTTCCTTCCTGGTTGAAGACTCTCCTCTCTCCATCTCTAGTCCCTTTTCAAACCACTTGGAATTCCTCCCACGACAAGTCCCGTGCGGTCACGTTTCTGTCACCGGTCCAGCCAGGTGGCCGCTCGTGAAGTCAGGCGCCTCCACCAACCACTAGGGCGCAAGGGCGCGAGGGCTCAGCAGACTCACTTTGCGCTCCTTGAACTTGTCTGACATCCTGGTGTGGATGTACCCTTGGGAAAGGCGGTGGCCCCTGGCACCCGTCCTCCTTCCGCCTCGCGTGCCTCCTTCAGGGTCCCAGGTAGACTGAAGTCTCTAAACTCGGAAAGGCTCCTTTATAAAGCGGTCATCTAGGCCCCCGAGTGCATTCACCCGTTGAATTATTCCATAGGATTAGGGAAGCTGCGTTTGGGGGATGTACGCATTCAAGATGAGTTTTGAAGAAGTTAGGGGGGGAAACAGCAGCCAAGGGGGGCAAGTTGGGGGCAGATCAGCATTGTTAATCCACGTGGCCCTTCAAAGGACACGTGATAGGCCCGGGAATAACATTTGCATGCAACAGGCCCGGCGGGAAAAGGTGGCAGTAAAGCGGCGGGGCGGGCGAGCTAGCGCCTGCAGCAGGCGCGGAGCGCAGGGGCGCAGCGACCGCGGGCACCCGGGGGGCGAGGACCCTCACAAAACAGTGTCGCCTGCTTTAGTCCCACCGCTGAGTCTCACACGATCGCCTGTTTATAAATCCCAGCCAGCCCGCCGTCGCAGCGCCGAGTGCGTTTTAAAGCCTGTCCAGAGTCATTAAAGTAATTAAGTAAGCCTTTAATAGGCTGTTCCGCCAGGTTCAAGGGAGAGCTCTTGGAGACGGAGGCGCCCCGTTTGTTCCCAGGCTTTTCTCACACGACTTGGTGACACGTCCATCTCCCCCCTTTTTGTTTACACCGCTTTATTTGTCCGGACATCTCGGCAGGTGTGGGGCTGCGGCTGGCACACGAGGCTCTCGCCTCTCCTCTCCCCTCCCGCAGGCCTTTGGCACGCGACGCTCCCCCCAACTCCCTGTCCCTGTCGCCTGCTTTATTTTCTCTCTGCCCCCCCTGACCCCCGCCTCCGTTCTCTCTTCGCTGGGGGAAGAAGCTCAATTTGTAGCCTATTATCCTATACAAAAATGTCCATTGAAAAGTATGAATAGTTTCATTGGGCTAAATTTTAATAATGCCAGAGGGTGGGGGCGTGTGGATGGGGGGAGGAGGTGGACTGGAGTATGATGGGAGGGGTGAGCGGCAACACGGAGAGGAGTGGGCCGAGAAGAAAGGGGGGAATGCAGCTGGCCCCGGCGAGCATTATGCGACGTCACCTGCGAGAGGGGGCGCCTACAGACCCCTATTCATTTGCCTAATTTTGGTCAATTTAACAAACTTCAGGAGAAATTATTGTGGCTTTGTCAGGGAGGGTGAAGCCTTCTGATCGAATTAACAGCATGTTTTGATCCGGTAAATGTCATTAGAAAGGGAGAAACAATCGCGCTTAGAGGGCTGTGGGTAATGCGCGCAAGTGGAGACGCCAAAGCGCACGGCTCACAAAGGCAGCAAGTAGCTGCCACAGGGAACTTTTGTACCCGCCCATCGCCCAAGTTTTGACACAAAAAGGCATTATTTCATACTTGAATACGTTTAATCCAACGATTGTCTATTTTCTGCAAACATATTTTCACAGCATTGTTAACTTTTTATGTCCCCCTTTCGCGGGCGCTTTTCTGAACGTTTGGGGGCGGGAGAGCGCAGACACTTTGGGCATCAATATTTGTCACTGAAAAGGGACCCGTGAAGTTAGGGAAGTTGATCTCTTTTTTATGGTTTTAGAGAACGAGCATATCAGGGGAGGAGGAGGGAGGAAAGGCGCGCATAGAAACGAGGGGGGGAAATTGCTGGAAGGGCCCAAGGGGAAGGAGGGGGCTGCGGCTGCGCCGGGAACCAGCTTGGCCGCCTGCGCCTCGGTGGGCAGCGGGGCCCAGCGGCCGGGGGCCTCCTCCCCCACTGGCCTGACTTGCTTGCTTCCCTCCGCTGCCTCGAAACCCACACTCTGGCGTCTCTGAGTTTGAGGGGTGTGGTGGGGGAGATCTTTCTTACAGCTGAAAGCCATAGAACTTGTTTTCAATAAAGAGGCGCCGAGCTCCAGTCTTGGTCATTTGTTTCCATCTGGGAACAATGGAAGCCTCGCCTTCTCTATCTTCCCCTCCCTTTCTACCCAGCACCCTACCTACATGCTCTCGATTCTGCACAACGATGTCACGGCCCAGGTCTCCCTTTGGGTTTTCTTAGTCCTGCGCAGAGCGGAGCCTGCATTCCAGAGCGCTGGAGCACCCAGGACGCAAGAGTCTTTGGCCCGCGGCTTCGAGGCCTCTGGGCAGCGAAGGGCCCCGCTGCAGCCGCCCGGAGGTGCGGGAGCCGGGCCGAGCCTAGGACCCCCGCCCCCGCCCACCTGAGCGTTCTTTCTCCGCTTGGCTTCCAGTCCTGCTAGAGATTTCTGCTCGACTCCACGCCAGCCTGGACCGATCCCACATCTTCCCGTCGGTTTCTCTGCCAGCGGCGGGTGCCCTCTCGGGGTTGTTGATTTCAGTATATTCACTGGCACACAATGGGATTAAACACGAACCCTTATCATCCAAATTAACTGATGTGAATGGGTGAGGGAGCAAGCACACTTATCCATCCCTCCTCCCGCCCAAGCCCCCTTTTAAACCAAGAACCAGGAGTTGATCCTCTTACTGCCGGTGTTAACCGCCAGCTGCTGGCGCCGTCCTCAAACCAAATACTATTCTGTGCAAAGCGTTTATTTTTTGCGGGTTTGCTCCGGGAACCGGACTCCTGGTCCCGCAGGGGGCTAGGAGACCGGGGTAAGATTGTCAGGGAGAGGGGGAGGCTCAACAACAATGGGTGGGTGAGGGGAGATGGGCTGGGGAGGCGCCACCTTTTTGCAGAGCCCTTAGGCGACTGCAGCATCCTGGCTAGACTGGCTGCGCCTGCTCTTCTTCAGGAGAGGGAAAGAACGCTGGATCATTCCTCCTTTCCTAGACTTGATCCAACTGCCTGCCTGAGAGTGCGGGGCCGGGACCCTCACAGTCATCTTCCCTTGATACTGCAAGGCTTAGTCTTCCCTTAATTCCGTGTCCATCCCCCAGAAGAGTGGAGTAGTGAAGAGAGCTGGATTTGGAAGTGAACAGCCTGCATCCCAGCCAGCTCGGAAGGCAGAACCAGCCACCGAGTCTCCTCTTCTGTGAAATGGATGTAATTATTGTGGGCATTAGATCACCCTGGTGGTGTAGTGGTTTTGTGTTGGGCTGTGATCCCCTGGGTGGCAGTTCGAAACCATCAGCAGCTCCGTGGGAGAAAGATGGGGCTTTCTACTCCTGTAAACAGTTACAGTCTCAGAAACCCACAGGGGGTCAGCCTGGACTCAATGGCAGTGAGTTCCGTTTGGTTTATTACATCACTTGTAGTGTTCATTCCAACGAAACCCGTAACTATAGAGCCAAAGTCACCAGTAGAAGCTGGATGTGGTAGTTACATACTCTGTTGTCAATTTGAGACTTCAGAGTGAATAGGGTGTCAATCAGGTCGTAGCTTGATGACCTCATTTGGAGGTGCCACTTAGATGAATAGCTTGCTGAAATTGATACACACACTCGCTCCATGCTAGGCATTCCTGCAGACAAGACACATGGAGCTAGGCTAGAGCCCTGGAAGTGAAGGAGCCACATGGAGACCCCTGCCAGCGCTGAGATGCTTCCACACGGACTACTCCCAAAGGACAATGGGAGAGGAAAGAGGAAGGAAACTTTTGGACCATCTTAAAATCCAACTCATTGTCCTGGAGTTCAGTCTGAGTCATAGTGACTCTAGTGGGGAGAGTGGAACTGCCCCTGTGGATTTCTGAGGATGGACATTTGTGGGACCAGAAAGCCTCATCTTTATTTCTTGGAGCACCTTGGGGGTTCGAACTGCAGACCTTGCCATTAGCAACCCTCCACGTAATGCTACTGCATGTCCTTTCAGATCATTGTGACAAGCTAAGGAACAGCTTCAATGTCAGGGCTTCCCATGAACATGGTGATTTCTCTCCCCCAGCTCTACGTATTCAACTGTTTTGTATGGCATTTGAATTAAGTATCATCTATCTCTATATGCAATGAGTTATTTCTGGTGTGTCCTGAAAGCAGTGGGTATCTTTTTGGTGAAGGAAAGAAAACTCATAGAGGTGATGATTATTACATAGGACTATTTTAGCAATAATCCTGGAACTAGTTCTACAGGGAGTCTCTTGTAGGACCCCAAACGGTCATATCTGACAATACATATTGAGGCTTTTAAAAGAGCTAAGTAGAGGAAGATAGAGCAAATACTGAGAAAGAATACTAATAGGGACACTGCAGGGTAGATGAAGGTGCTGCAAACCATAGTTTGATATGAGCGGCACTTAGACGGTACATTGCAGGTGCTGTGAATGGTGTCCATGATGGTCTTTGCTTATTCTAGGTGATTGGCTCTACTCTTTGGACTGACAATAACAGTTTTTGCTTCATTAACTTGAGCAAGCACCCAGAAGTTATCACCGAAGCCATTAATTCACAGAGGGGCTCAGTGTGGTGAGGGAGCACTATGGTTCTACTGCAGGAAGTGCTGAGTTCCCACTTTGCATATAGATTCCATTTGTTTTAAAGAGCTAATTTTAATAGAATAGGTACTTGTTACTGAAAATAGAAAATGAATGTGAATTGTAGCAAATAGCAGGGAACCTGAGGCAAAGAGTAGAACTGTAATTGACAGTGGCGCTAACCAGGGGCACCATTCTATGGGCAGTAATCAAGTTATAGGCATCTGACATGCAGCCAACCTGTGCATGCAGTGAGTGCTCAGCTCCATCCTGCCCTCTCTGGGGACCACAGACAGCTGCCATCATCATTCAGTCACCACTAGGATCACCATTTGTCATGTAAGGCACCAAGCTGGGTGACATTAGAACCACTGAGAATCAACATAGAGCTTTTGGGATATCTGTAAATCGGAATATCTGTAGATTTGGAATATCTTTAAATTCCTCTGTGTGGAAGGAAGAACCTGACTAAGATGATAGCCCTTGAGGAAAGACCACCAACCCCCAAGCAGGACCAATGTGCTTATTTGTTGGTCCATCAGCTTGAAATTGCTCCCTACTGCTTTACTTCACAG